TACGCAAATGAATTAAATAAAGAGAAAAAAGAAAATATAAGACATCAAGAGTCCGTCTCTACATTTGAAATCATCTTGGTAATACAGTTCTTTCAGATCGCTTTCCTTTGATCCGTAATTTGATTTCGTAATTTCGCCGGTTGTGACTCATAGGCCTTTCATCAGTGGAAAGTATGACTCCATAGAAAAGCAATACATCTCATCACTGTAAGAGAGAGTTTATGTTGTGTGAGTGTGGCACCTTGACTCGTGACCAGAAAAAGGGCTTTATAAGTCGTCAGTTTTCCATGAAAAATCCCATTTATATTTATTTTTGTCCATTTTTTGGGGGGGGGGACTTTTAAGTACTTTCCTACTGACCAGATTTGACAATTTGTCAAAGCTGGAAGTGATGCTCCAGGAGACGTTGCTTAGTCCCTTTGCCAGAGCCACAGTGTTTAAGTCAAAGATAGGATATCATATTTTCCAGGATCACTGCCAAAAGCAGTGACCAAAGACAGGATCTAACTGCTAAGGCTCCCACAACTGATCTGACCAGTCTGAACCGTAGAGAGTGTAGAAGAGTATTTCTTTGGCATTAGTCATTAATGCGAGCACTGGGATAGGCTCCAGTTCCCCCCGCGACCCCATCAGGGAATAAGCGGTATTTATAATGGATGGATGGATAGTCATTAATGCACCTGTTATTTGTATTCAGTTGTTATGGTAACCTCTTGTTTGTGGGTTTTTTTTTTTTTTTGATTTTTTGGTCAGGGATGAGTGTGCAAACAGTCCCCCTCCTGATGCGGCTGGACATCCAGTAGTAGCTGAGCTTGCGGTTGCTAATAGCAACCCCTGGCCTGGTTAGGATGAGACAACCCAGGACCAAATCCCTTTTCTTCTCATCTTGTGGCACATCCAGCTCATTGAACACTTTAAGCAAAGATCTGATCTCGTAAAACGATGCCACGTCATTGAGTCAGTTATAATTGGGACTCTCGTTATGGCAGCCCAATACATTTTAATTCTTGGATATCCAAGGCATGCCGTGTACACTGAGATTCCCAGAGAGGTCTTGATCTCTTCTGGTGTTGTTTATGGCAAAAACATTTACCAGCTTACAGTAAGTCCTTCCAGTAACATGGATTTTAAATCAGCACAGAAACATGTTTGTTTTTTTAGAAAACTTTTTTTCAGTGGAAAAAGTTGCTGTAGAAGATTCAGAGAAAAACATAGGATGTCCACATCTGCTGTGGCGGTCTGCCTTTGGTGCCATTTCACCACAAATCTACTGCACAAACAGGTGCAAACCCAACCACTTATGTGGGGGACAGCAGTCGCAACAGATCAACTAGCAAGCTCAAAGTGGAGGCAACGTTGAGAATGACCCACATACAATCACCTTAAAACTACATTTAAACCTCAATATCGACATAGATTAAAACATATGCTATAATAGGCTCACATTGCTGCTTGTTTCCATGGCAATAATCTCTTCATGGGAAAAAAAAAGTTCACTTATGACATGTAAAAAAAAAACTGCATCCTTGTAGATGTTTTCACTGGTAGTGCATTTTGCATTTAACCCACCTGAAAGGATACCTTTAATACTTTTTTAGCCTGTGTGTGTATGATTTCTCTATTCAGTACCTTTCTAACACGGAGGGTTAAATTTAATACTAACAGTGGTGAGCAGCAAGCATGCCACCATGGCCACACTGTCATCATGTGATGCGTTTGAGGTGTTACCACAGTTGCTTAGAATGGGGCTGAATGTTTTGAGAAAAAAAACAGAACAGAACGCATGAGCAGGACACAGAACAGCCAAGCAAACAAACTGAGAATAAGTATAGTTTCTCAAAAAACGTTTTATTGGGTGAAAACATACTTCAAAAAAACATTGCAGGCGCCCAGATGTCATGGGGAATTTAATATGCTGATTATCCTTGAAGAGAGCAACGTCTTTTTTACAAGATCACTACCATGACTCATTTAATTATGTCAACGTGTTACAGTAGGCAACTGATTTATGCTGACAGCAATAACCTACCTCAGCTTCCCGTACTCTAACAACAAGAAACAGCTCAATTAGGTCTGACAGGAGACGTAGTAGTTTAGTATACTTTTCTCAAATCAAAAGGATTAAAATGCTTCAGAAAAAATGCTTAAGAAGATGTCTGACTTTATGCATGAATTAGAACATAAACATGAACCATATGAACAAAACAGTAGGAAATGGGATGAATGAGATGTTAAAAAAACTTTATGTAATACAATGCAGATTGTTACAAAATGTGTGTCTTATGTTCAGTGAATATGGGGCATTAGTTTATGTGTAAGAAAAAGGCGGATTGGAAATAACTACATACCTATTTTATCCTTATTCATGTCCATGGTTTTGATTGGTCAGACCCTAGGTTAGCATTCCTCTTACCCTTTGCATACGGCAAGGTGTAAACTGATAAAAAACAATCGTAATAAAAAAAATTGGGCAAACATAGTACTATAGGTGAGCCCAGTTAAAGAGACAGAGGCAGGATTTCCGTGTGGTGTTTGTTTGGTTCAAATATTCACCTGTTTTTATGATCAGATGGCGGTTTCTGCTGTTGTTGTGTTTTAACTTTGTATGTTTTTAACGTAGTTTCAAGAAGGACAATGTCAATTTGTCACAGTTTATCATTTTTCACACACTTTCCTGACTAAATTGAATGTGTTCAGCTGTCAGTTTGTAAGGCAGCTCTGCCTGAGTCATGTTTTGAATGAGCATGTAGTGGATTCTTTGTTGCCTCTACAGATATAATCAAGAGCAGTCAGACAATGACTGAAGATCTTTTCAGATCACAACGGCGGCCAGGTCTCTCCTAAAATAAAAATACAAAAACTAAAACTTCATTCTCTCTTTAAGGATGAGAAAAATCTTGGGTTTCTATGATATTAGGCGTATGTACAATCTAGATTCCCGAATCCATAAAGGAGTGGCTTTTTCTCTAATAATGTATAAGAGATCTGTTGATTCAAAACTAAAAGCTGATTGATCGGTTGTTTTGCGGTTGTCTTTCTAGTCTCCATATATTTTTTTAACGCATGTAAAAAAACGGGGGCGTATCTAAGTTACACTAATGCCCTAAAGTCATAAAATGATTAGCTCCTGCAAACAGCAAATACAAGCTAGAACTAGTTTTCAGATAAGATTTACAAATGGAAACTCTGCAGGCTTTTTAAATGAAAAACTATTATATAACTAAATGCTTCTTTTAATTCTTGTTGTTACATTGATATCGCATTGTATTAGATATTTTTTTCAATTTTCTTTTAAGTGTAAATCTGAAGTTAAGAGCATAATTCTATTTTTCATTTTAGATAATGAAAAACAAAAAAGCCATTATTGATATTATGATCATCTAAACATTCTGTTGCATTTTGAGTCTTAAAAACAGCATATGTGGTACAGACGTGTCACAAAAAATGGGAATAATGGGTTGGAAAAACATTGAATAGATAGATTGGGAGTGAATAGTGCAGACTGATTTCAGCCTGGATTTAAACACTGTCCGCCTTTAGGCCCGTATAACCTCGTCAGGAGTACTGTTCCAGATTTCAGGTGTATAAAACCGAAACACAGCCTCACCTTGTTTGGTACCGACTGTGGGCACCAGCAGGAAACCACTACCTGAGGTTCTCAGAGTCCAACCTGGGTCATACGACTAACGTGTCAGAGATTGACTTTGGCGCTTAACCATGAACAGACTATTGCACAAGCAGAGCTTTTTTAAAGTCTATTCTCTGAATGACAGGGAGACAGGGCAGAAACCTGAGCGCCGGACTAATAGGACACATGACTAATGTGTCATGGTTCTCGTTTCAACTCTAGCCGCAGCATATTTTGTCTATGACGAAGATCTCATCAAAAGTTTGTTTTGCTTGAGATATCATTCCCATATTTTTCATTCCCCGTGTGTCTAAGGGTACAAACAAACAACGCCCCCCCCCCCCGGGCCATCATTTAGTAGGCCATTGTTGGAGCAAGAAGGCTCTCATCACAATCTGCTTTTTTTGATAGGATGTGTGCATTATGGTATTACTTAAAACAGCAACACTGATGTTTGTTGACATTTCATGGAGAATTCTGTAGTAGTGGCTTGCAGTAAATTGAGCAGGACCGCTCAGACAAAGACCGTTTACAAAGCAGTCCAATGTCAGCCCTGAAGCTACGGTGAAAGTGGAAAGCCCCTGAGTTCTGGTAGATAGTAATGCAAGGATCAGCAAGATTCCGCAACAACTATGAAGTTGTTAAATACAACAGGGTGAGAATGAGACATGGCTTCAAACGATGACTACGTGGAATGTAATGGTGCGTTCAGGTTCAGGTCCAGGTCAATCAGGACCCAAACCGCCAGGCACTTGAACAGTTTCTCCCTCAGGCCACCCCCTCTCATCCCAGCCCCGGCCCCACCACCTCTCCGGACACTTAAAGAACACGTAATTCTAATATTTATTTCTGCCATCCTGTGTATACTTCTGGTCAGTTTAGTGTCATTTCATCCGTGCACATCGCTGCTCAATTGTACATATAGTACTTATTTATTATTATACTTTTTTTCTTAGTTATAATTTTTTACATTTTAATTGTTCTGTGGCGTGGTGAAACTAGGTTAAAATCCTGTGTGCCACTCCTGTGTGGCCAATAAAGCGACTTGTGAGTGTGATTCCGACTCTGAGGATAGAGGGCGCTAATGCGCTTTCAGTGATCCAACGAAGAAGAAGTGGTACGTCCTGCTAGCATGCTACAGCTAACGCCGCATTTCAGAGGAAGCTCTCAGTAAGTGTGAACTACGTTTGGGTTAAGCTCGACTCAAGTCGCTCATTTCTTTTGGTGCTTCTTTCCGAAGGGCTAACAATTTCCCACTCCCACCCCGTCACACACGGACGTTTCATCATGCTGGCAGATTTTCCCATTCCACACACCCCTCCACCCTGCGCGTCAATAGATGACGAGAAGGGGGAGACACGGGGACTAAACACTAAACGGACAGGGAAACTGGCAAAGCAACCATGTGACGCCTTGGGAGTTAGAACGTGTTAGGGATGTACGTGCTTTTGGAAAAAAAAATGGGCCACGTTTTCAGATGGAAAACATTCATAGACTCAGACCTGAACCAGAAAAGGCTTTAAAATCCACCCTCGCGTTTTTGGGTGGAGAAACAATCTAGTCAACAGCACTTTTTTCAACTAATTTCTCAATCTTTGGCTTTATCTGAGGAACGGTAGATTTGGTCTTTCCTCAATTGTCTGAGGAGCCATAACTGTGTTTCTGTAGGTAGAGCTTCTATCTCTCTCTATAGATTTATTTATCATTTGATTCCTATGATAGGTGGCATTCAGGTGAATTAGGACATTTTGAGCATGTATGCCTTTTCCTGGCAAACTTTCGGTGTAATGTTGAAAAGAATGTATTGTTGTTCAATGTTTTTCAAATTTTGCTGTCATGAACTATGATTAATGGCAGTGGGACGTGGGTAGTAGCTCTTCCTGTTGATCCTTCTATATTTGGATTTTTTTATGGCTCTGGGAAGTGTGGCCATGTGGGTGAATACTCCCATCCAGCAATGTTCGCATGGGGGGGTGCATACCAAAGGCATTGACAAAAGCCAAGCGGAACTTTTAATTCTAACCAGATGATCTATGTTTCCACTTATCTTAAAGGTGGCCACAGTGTCACCTGATTGAGAACTTTAATTTAATGATGTAACCCAGATGCAAACACATCAACAAGACCATATCTTGTAATCGTGGATTGCAAGTGAGTAATAATAAGATGTTAGGTTTGTCTTTTAGGAGCGAGCTTATTGTCACTGAGTGGGCGGTTCATTCTCTGTAGATTTTTTCTTCATGAAAATACACTTCAAAACCTTTCCTGAGTGCTGGTTCGTCACCGGGCCTGTTTATTTCTCTCCTCAGCTGGTGAGGGGGAACTCGAAATGACGACGCCGGTGCCCGTTCTCCGCCTGCCCAGAGGGCCCGACCCCAACAGTCGCGGGTTCGACCCCAAGTCCCCGCGCTTCATCGCTCTCTGCCGCACGTCGCTCCCGACGGCGGCGGGGGCCTCGGAGGTGGACGACGAGCAGCTGCAGACAGAGCAGGCCGCGCGGTCCCTGCTGAGGGAGCGCTTCCTCCGCTGTCTGCTCGCCATGACCAACAAGAAGGTCCGGTTTCACATGCACGAGGGCGTGAAGGTGGAGGCCACTTTTGGGGCGTCGGACATCGACGTGCTGAACTTCCAGGTGTCGGACTTGCACACTCCCATCGGGGTGCAGAAAGAGGCAGTGATCAGGTGTCAGGACGTGGTTTCTTTAACTTTTGATGTATGAGCTCCTCAGGCGACTTAAACGGACGTTTTTCCGGCACATGTTTTTTCTGTCTCTCTTTTTTTGTTTTTTGTTTCTGTTATCGTCAGATTCTGCAGGATCCTGTTGTTGCATGTCTGTGCAACACGTTGGATTCTGTTCATGTGTGTGACTGCATTCAGAGGTCCGATAGGAGTTATGAGTCCCACATTCTCAGCACTAGAGGGAGCCATAAGCTTTTGTTTAAGGACAGACTGCCCTGGGTTGGAAAATTCAGTGGACTGATGTTCACTGTTGACCAGTTTTCTCTCTTCTCCAGAACATGGCTCATGCTTTTGCAGTATTTGCCCATAAGAGCATCCAAACCGGAGGAGGAATTTATTCTTTGTAATTTTCATTCTTTGATTCTGCCGGGAAGTTGAGGAAAGTGATGATGAGGTGGTTTTTTTAATCCTTTGAAGAGCACTTGAAACATCCAGGTCTAATTTACCAGTATGTTTCCTGTGGTTTTACTTCAAAGGAAGATTTCTTGTAAATGGTGGCTTTCTCATGGCACCTAAAAGGAGGCCAATTGGACTTAGACATTTTTGTTACTTAGCCAAGAAGAAAACTACTAACGGGGCTGTTTTGTTTGGTTTTTGATAGTCTATTTTGTACTCTGGAAAAAAAAAAACATGGAAACATTTGTACAAATTGTCCCTTTATTTTCTTTTTTTCATAATAAAACATCTGTAATACATCTGAGTGTCTGTCTGTTAAATGCATGAGTCAGTTTCATTGTTAAAATAATTGTAATTCACCCTCAATTGAAAACCCATTGCAGAAAATAGAATTATTTTTGACGTTTTTGCATATTGAGTTGTGGTCCTGGGATTGATATAAATCCTGCCCAACTCTGAACTCGGGCTTGAGATCACTTTTATTTGTTCTTTTAATGTACATGGAATTTTCTGTTTGTATTACGGCACTGTTGTTTGTAACTTTGGTCTGCCTTTCAAAGGAAGCTAAGGCCGACTGAAGTGACAGAAAATAACAGCTTTTCACCATCAACAGGGCATTTATGAGATGGGTCATAAATTGAAATAAGGGTAAGCATCTCTTGGAAATATCGTATGGATGTCAGACCAATTTCTTCTGAATGTTGCACAAAGACCTAATATGACAGCATCAGGAACCCAAGTTATTTAAATCTATGCTCATGGATATAATTAAGAAGAACGGGTTTCATCATTGTTTAGCACCAGCCTCATTGTTAGGAGACAGGAGGGGGGGGCATCAATACTGTTTAATCTTCTTAAAAGGTATGTTTTGCGAGTTCCCAATAAGTCATTTTATTTGAGTGCCATTAGGCGGTCGTGTTGTGCCTGTGTCTCTTTTTGTACCTGAATTATCTGACCACTCAGTGGAGACAGTCATCAGCGACGCGGTGACTCATCCCCCCCCCCCCACACACACACTCTGTTTCTGCTTCTCGCTGTTACCCTCCCCACTCCCAAACATGACTTAAACCTCGCATGACGTCATCAAGCCTGTGTGATTCAATCAGGAAGTCCTCAAGGACAACCAATGTTAATTTCATATCCACAGAAGGCACACAGTTCTGGGACCAGCCGTCCGAATCCCCCGGTCCTCGCTCAGACCTCTGTGAGGACTGCTGCTACTGACAGCAGGCGCACATACGCCGTGTTTTCATGGTGTGGATTTGTCTCCTGCTGCTTTGGGCATTGGTCAATTTACGAGGACAGCTCCGTTCTTGATGCTTATTCTTTACGTTATTTTCCTTTACAAATATGCACACATAAGCATTTGTTTCCACCAATTGTAATTAACGTTGTGCTTCCCAACATTTCACAGAGTATTATCAAGTCCTCTACATATTATTCCAGTTTAAAAAGTAGTAAAATGCTGAATGAAAATGGAAATTAAAAACAGAGCGTAATGATTTGGGAATCTCATAAACTGAGATTTCCTTGTTAAAGCAACTTAGAAAGCAAACTAATCAAATGTTACACGTGATGGTTTAAACCATTTCAGGAAAAAACACTGGCTCATCTTAAATCTGAAGAGCTATAGCTATAGCTATCTGTAACATAAAAGTTGGGACCACTGTGTCACATTCCCTCCTTGGGAACTGGAGAGACAAGTTTTCTGGATCTTAGGCAGGTAAATGTTGCCTCATTCTCACCCCCCTATAAGTCTGTGTTACCTGTTTGCCCCTGAGCACTTCTTATATAAAGCTGTTGCAATAGATGCAAAGTGTGGTTTAGGAGAGTCTTCCTGAAAACTTTGAGAAAAATATATCTCCTGGGTGGGTACATACGTTGCTCCAAAACACCCCCATATGCCTTTGAGCATGGGTGGTGCCTTTCCAAATGTTTAAGATGCCACATGCTGATCACAGAACAGTTTTTGTTTAGCGTCACATCACTTAAAATGAGCTTAGCTCCAGAGAAGACAGCTGTGTTTTCCTTCCTCTTTGTATCACCGAGCTCCAACCTGAAGTGGTGAATAGCACAATGCCCACACATGTTCACAGACAGTAAAGATTTCTGGAGGGGTTCCATGAGCCCATGCATTGCTCTTGTGGCGTAATAATGTTGTTTTTTAATTAAACGACGCCTGGAAGAAAATATTCAAATTTTCAGCTGTGCCTCTTGGAAACAGCAGAAATGGAACTGGGAGATGCTGCGGAGAAACCATCCGAAACAGTCTGTCTCACACAGCAGAAAAGAAAAACTAACATACAAATAAGGAGAGGGTATTCGCTTTTTAAGGCTATTTAACTAAAATAGTTTCCCCCGAAGATGAATTAGTGCTCGGTAATTTTTCTGCAGTGCACGGGGACACACTGTCTCAATGTTATCTTCTCTTACTGTTTGTCTTTCCTGACAGTCTGCTTCTCCCTGATTTCAGTAGAAAAACATTCCTGCCGTCTAATACATGTATGCATGTGTGTGTGTGTATGTGTGTGTGTGTGTGCGTGCGCACTGTTGTATCAATGCGTCAGTCATGATGGTACAAGGAATCTGCCCCATGTAACACCAAGGCCCAGCAGGAAGCACATTCCGCTCCTTCCTGTTTGCAGCTCTCTCAGTTCCTGGCGAGTGTCCGATAAGTAACCAAACCACTTAATCACCCTTTTGCCCAAAACTCTTGCCAGCAGACAGAAATAATAGGCCGGTGACCTCATGAGCATATTTTTAGATTGTTTCATGATAGACAGGAGAGGAGATGACGATCCACGTGACAGCATTTGTTGATTTATTGAATCAACTCCTACCTCAGGTATAACCGATCAAACATGAGTTAGTACACTGGGTGAGCTACTAACCAACCAGCCTCTGAGCCATGATACTGAAAGTTCAAGAAGGCTGCCTGTGTTTGGGGAATGAGTCACTGAAAGTGCCTCTTGGCCCTCCGTGCCGGCTCATTGACTCATGTGTGGTTTCTCATTGAATATTTGTCTATTTTTTTCTTCACAGTTTGGACTTCTGCTATTTTCGGCTGTCTTTGATTGAATCTTTTTATTGATTCTCTTTCTTTTAGAAGCATGAAACAGGAACATCCATGTCAATTGCCACCTTTTAATTTTGCTGTTTACTAATTACTGCCTTCAAGCCTTCTCATAGTCAACCTCACCATATAATCTAATTTATGTGATGGTTCGTTTTAAACATCAAAAACTTCCACTAATAACGTCCTTCACAATCATACACAGTAACTACATAATCATTAAACATGGAGCATGCAATGCAGGAAGGAGTTAATGGAAAATTACAGTACCATTTCAACAGTATACAATCTGCCACATATGACTGCTGGCAATATAAAAGTCTTATATAACGGAAGATTGTACACAAATTAAACATTTGTGACATTTCTGAGCAATTCTTGTGGTCAGGACTTTGTAAAAGGAAACCGTTGAGAATGGTTCCCTGGCCATGTGTGGGACGTGATGTGCCAGAAAACACTTGCTTTTTTAATCACACAGGAGGAAACGTACACCTTTGCAGGAGTAAGTCATCACATATTTGCCTGCTTTGTCAGAGCGTGGAGAATTCCACCCGTGGCTGCATCAGAATTCTCAATCCAGAATCATCAATGACTTTTTCCCTCATGTTCGGGCGTCTCCAAAATACATATTTGGACAGGCACATTTGTCACTTTGGATGGGTAAATATACACAATCAAGAAATGGGTGGTTATAGGTTTTCTGAACAAGTTTATCTTCAAATATTTCTGCCATTTTCTCCACAACCAACCCCTGTATTGATATTTGAAGACAAGCTCAAACAGTCTAGCAGACAAATACGGAACACACAAGGCTGGCAGGAAAATGTTTGTTTCCTTGATAAAAACAGGTGTAGATCTAGCTTTAGTTTGGACGACACCCCTAGAGCTCATATCCAAGGGTAAAAACAGACGTATATGTTTTTTATTGAATGGTACATCACATTAAATTTGAACACACCATAAGGAACAAATGTGTTCAAAGAAAAATACACACTTTTCTGTCTCTTAACATCAGGACATGTTTGTTCCCTGATGAAAGCAATCGTTTTTGGCTCTACTAATACATCAAAATAGATTGATTTGTGGAAGAAATCAGATCAACCCCCACACACATCAAGTATGCAGTCACTGATTAAATTCCTCAGAGTCCTAACTTGTGATATCTGCTGGTAAGTGTTTTCTGGAGGTGTTGTCCAAGCGGGCCGACAAGCAGACAAAAGGAATCGCTGAGTCACACGCAGTCCCCACATTTGTTGGAGTTGCCTCTGTGGGGGGTGGGGGGGGGGGGGGGGGGTGTGGGGGGGGCTCCAGCGATTGTGAGGGCGGGTCACTGTGTGGCAGCCTCGCTTCCCCGACTCAAGTGGCTGGTCAG